AAGGGCAAGGTGATCATACGATATTTATAAGACATTCACAGGATAGGAAGATAGCGATATTGATTGTGTATGTTGACGATATAATTCTCACTGGAGATGACATACTTGAGATGAACCGATTGAAGACTTCCCTCTCATCAACATTTGAGATCAAGGACTTAGGATCTCTCAGGTATTTCCTTGGAATGGAGGTTGCTCGATCGAAGAAAGGGATTGTCGTCTCCCAACGGAAGTATGTCCTTGACCTCCTTAAGGAGACTGAGATGAGCGGTTGTAGGCCAGCAGACACTCCAATCGATCCTAATCAGAAACTTGGAGATGACAAGGAAAGTGGTCAAGTGAATACAACGTGGTATCAAAAGTTGGTGGGAAAGTTGATTTACCTAGCACATACACGGCCCGATATTGCTTTTGTTGTGAGTTTGGTAAGCCAGTTTATGCATTCACCCTACAAGAAACATCTTGAAGCAGTTTATCGGATTCTCAGATACTTGAAAAGTACACCAGGCAAGGGTTTCTTCTTCCAAAAGACCACACAGCAAAACATAGAGGCATACACTGATGCAGATTCGGCAGGCTCGGTTATTGACAGGAGATCCACGTCAGGATACTGTACTTATGTCTGGGGAAATCTGGTCACATGGCGAAGCAAGAAACAGAATGTGGTTGCAAAGAGCAGTGCTGAGGCAGAATATAGGGCTATGGCTAACGAAGTTTGTGAGATACTATGGTTGAAGAGAATTCTTGATGAGCTGCGGATGCCGATGAACATGCCAATGAAGTTGTATTGTGACAACAAAGCTGCCATAAGTATTGCACAAAATCCAGTACAACATGATCGCATGAAGCATGTGGAGATTGACAGACACTTCATAAAAGAGAAGATTGATAGTGAAGCTGTTTGCATGCCTTTTGTTCCTATTACTCAACAAATAGCTGATATCTTCACCAATGGACTTTTCAGACCTAGTTTTGAGCTCTTAATAAGCAAGTTGGGCATGATAGATATCTACGCTCCAACTTGAGGGGGGGTGTCGGATTTCTAGGAAATAAATTAGGAAATTCAATTTTTGAAAATAAAATCTGAAACTACTATTTCAGATTTTAGTAGTTTCTGTCTCCTGTTTTCTAGCCTAGAGTTTTGCTGATTTGATTTGCTGATTTTGTGGGCTTCCTGATTTGGTGGCCTTCCCCTACTATTTATCTTGTAATCATCTCTCTTGAAAGATAATAAGACTGGATATTTTTCTTCTTAAAAAAACCTTCAGTATCAATCCCATTTTCAGATTCCATTCCTACTGAAAGATATTCTTGTTTTAGTGGGACAGAGTCGGGAAATCACTTGACTGGGAAGGATTTTGGGAAATCATTACTAAAGGTCTTAGAACCTCTTAGATGTTATGAATTGATTATATTGGAATGAGTACACTTCATTTGACTTGTTTTGAGTCAAATTTCTCCACCATTGGGTAAAATGACCATTTCATCCCTAATTCCATATTTTATCCGTTTTGACCCTTTTACCCTTTTGACCTTAGCTTCCGCATTCATCTTCCACTTAAGTCTCGTGATTTCTTAGATGGTCACTTTGTTGTCTTAGAGGTAGTGTCTATCTCTAGACACCTCATTTTTTTTCTTGCTTCCGCGTTGGGGATCCGTTATCGGGTCAGTTTTTGGGTTACTCGCAGACGCACCGGGTTCTTCGAAATTCAGGCCGTCACAAAAAAATTATGTTATCTCTAAGTTCACTATATTCATATAAAGCCTAAACTTACTATATGGTTTTCATTTAGCAATTTCTCAAAATAATTTTTTCATCTTTGTTTAATTTCATCTTCTTTTACTAAAACCCACGAATCTTCATTCTTAATACATTTAATATGGCTAATATCTCTAGTTTTCCTCTCCTTTAGTTTAGCAAGTTTATAAATATTCTTCTCCCCTCCTTGTGTGCTTACTTTTGAATAAAAATCATAATATATATATAACCTATGTTACCTGGACTCGCCGTTTCCTGCAAAAGTGTCCGTGTCGACACGACACAACACGGACACGGACACAGAATATGTGTCAAACTCTCCATCTTCTCTGTCGTACATGGCTACTCAATCTTCATCTGTTTAGGCACCTCAAGGTATCTTTATGGTGGTCTGGTTATGACTGGTTCGAAATAGGGTTTAGAAAGGAAAGGTTGAAGATGACTTGGTATCAGCACCCCCTCTTTTCTGCGTTGAATCTTCACCGCTTGTACCTTTCTTTGTTTTTCAATTCTTTTTGTCTGACATGGTACACGTGGGTGGGTTGTAACCCACATAAGTTTGTAATAAATACTGGGTTACAACCTTACAGCTATAACCCACAAACAGTATTTATTACCATTGTTTATTACCCCGTATAAGCTGTAACTCATGTGGCCCACTGCTTTTTTTTTTTTTTGATAAGTAAATTGTATTAAAAGCGTTCAAAAGGGGAACGCGTCCCAAACTATACACAGACAAAACGGAGCCTATGAACTCAAAGAGCTCATAAAATCAACAATATCCTCAAGAGAGGAGTAGTCTCTCCCCTGACCCCAACAAAACAAATTACAAATAATATTATAAATAATATAATATTATATAAACTTATAATATATTGGTTACAATTGTAACCCACCATCTATATATATTATATATACTACTATTACTTTTTAAAGCATTTGAAAAAAAAATTTAACCTAGTTACCTAGTTACTTTCACAGTTTAACTTACAAATCCAGTCTCTTTTCAAACTATTGAACAAAAAGAAAGTATAATATGCATTTTAACATTGTGAGAATACTTTGCATGAGGTGTCCAAGTGTCCGTGTCTGATTTTTGGACACTTTAAATTTGTGTCCCCGTGTCCGATAATTAGATAGATAGAAGGATTTGACCTCTAGACACGTACCCGTGTCCGACACCCGTACCCGAGTCCGGGTAACATAGTATATAACCAACGGGTCAGTGGCCTAGCGGTATCAGACCCTTACTTTCCAAAGGAAGGTTAGGGGTTCAAGCCTCCATGGAGGCATGTGTGTGCAAGTACCGACTAAGAAAAAAAAAATCATCATATACTCTAGCTTTGCTTCACTTACTACTTTCTTAACTTCTTTAGTTACTTTTTTTATATATTTTTCTAAGGTTCCACTATTTTTAATTTATTGCCAAACTTTATAGCATTCCCGTTTTGTTTTCACAACTTTTTGAACTTGTTCATTCCACCACAAAGTTTCCTTAAATAAAGGTCCCATTCCTTTTGATTCCCCTAGAACTTCTTTTAATATATGTAGTCATCTTATTCCACAATAAGTTTGTTTCAACTTCTATATTCCATGTTGCTTCTTTTAACATCATATTTTTAGATACTTCTACTTTCTCCCCTCTTAAATTCCACAACCTAGTCCTCGGGTTTATAGTTCTCTTTCTCCTCTTAGGTTGTCCTTTTATATATAAATCTAAAACAATTAGCCTATGTTGTGATGTTAAACTCTCTTCAAGGATAACCTTACAATCTTTACTTGTTAATTGATCAATTTTTCTAGTTAAAATGAAATCAATTTGACATATATTTGATCCCCTTTTGAAGGTTATTAAGTGTTTATCCCTCCTTTAAAATAGGTATTCCTAATTATAAGATTTTATGCTACCGCAAAGTCTAGGATAGCCACCCCGGCATCATTTATATCTCCAAATCCATGTTCAACATCTACCATCTCATATCCTCCACTCTTTTCCTACATGCCCAATAACTCCTATACAAATTTTTTCTCCTTTTGAGTATCCCTTGCATTTATTCATCCATATGTTCCCAAAATTAGGTTTTAATATTTTCATCTAGGTCTACTTGGGGAGCAGAAGCGCTAACTATATTAATTATATTTCCCCATAATACGAGTTTTACTAATATTATCCTATCTTCTTTTCTAACAACAGTAACCATATCTTCTTTTAAATCCTTATCAATAATTATTCCTACTCCATGTCTATGTCTATCCTTTCCGGTGTAATATAGTTTATATCCTTCAATTTTTCTAGCTTTTGCACCTACCCACTTAGTTTCTTGTGGACATAAATATTAATCTTCCTTCTAATCATAGTGCCTACCAACTCCATTCCTTTACCCATCAAGGTTCCTATACTCCATGTCACTATCCTAAGCCTACTACCCTAGGCTAACTTCTTTACCTGCGCTTGTCCAAAAAAAAGCAGGAACCTTGCCAATTTTTTACAGCATCCAGGTGCGGCGCCCCTTGCCCATTTTTCAAAGCATCTGAAAGCTGATGCAATGTGTTGCTTAAGGGGAAACCTCTAGCATTTACTCATGTACTCATAGGATTCATGTTCTATGGCTCTCTTATCTATTTAAAGATAGATCCTCCTTCAAAAATATATCAAACTTTCTTTAGGACACTGTCTAAAGGGCATGCACATGTTGCTAATGAGCTTCTCACAACTGAAAATGCATATAGAAGATTAATACATATTAGGCAAAAGAAAGAGAGATCCGAACCTCATTTTGATGAATTAATGGCATCTTTACTTCATTCCAATTTAAATGACACTACAAAAGTTAAATCTTTTAGTTTATGCACTACAACGTCCATAGCCCTTGTGAAATCAGTTGCAAATTGGGGAACAAGATGGAAGAGACAGTTTGGCTAGCCATTTTTAGTTATTTGTTTATCCTAATTAAACTTATTCAGAAGAGATCTAGTGTTAGTTTTTTTCTTTTCTGGTAAAAAAAGGTGTGCTTCTTGTGCTTGTGTTAACAAAATGTCATTAGTGTCAAGATGGATGACATGAATTTATTCAGTTCCCAACCGTATAATAATAACCCCAAATTATAGGACAGAAAATGAGAAAATTTTAAAATAAAATAAAAAGGATTAAAATGTAAATTTTGTAACAGTGACTACAAAAAGTGATAATTGTGAATTGTGTTAATGAAAATGCAAGTAAACATTAAACAAAGAAACAAACCTTGTTACCTATGTAGCCCATTACACCAACACCAACAGTAGACACCTTTACGTTCTGGATATGCCTACGCAAGCTTCTACGAACCCATATAGTAAGGAAAATCCCAACCATTTGCTTGCTTACTATCCTTACAAATGGGGGTCTTCTTTTCCGGTACATGACAGAATCAAGGTCAAGTTCTGCGAGTAAAGCTGCATCTGATTGCAGTCCATTATCACCATTAATTGATGTCTTGAAAGAATTATATGTTCTGAAAGATTTGGAAGCTTTAAAAGACTTAAAAGATCTGAAGGAATTAGGTCTGTCTAATACACGATGAGCCAGCAGATCAAATGGCCTCTCTGGCCAGGTCAAACCAATTCTTTCTGTCCCGCTAAGCATCTTGGTTAATTTGCTATTATGAGAAGCTGATGCTTCTTCATTTCCTGTACAATCTTCTGTTCGCAGGCAATTCAACCTTTCCAGCCTCTTTGGAGAAGAAAATTGCCTCTGTAAATCCTGTTCAACTGTCACGCCAAAACTGGTATGATCACTAGAGAGTGAAGCTTCAGAATTTATAAAATCATTTTCACCTGTGACTGGTTCATTACAGGCTTCATCAAATCCATTGGATTCTTCATTCAATGGATGGATTTCCTCCTCGCCATCACTATCCGTTTCAAGTTGTATTTCATCTTCAATAACAGGGGCATCATCAGATGGCTTGTACCTCGATGGAGAAGGGGGATCACTATAACATTTAAACCTTGTCTTAGGCTGAATTTTATTAAGGCTTTCACGAATGATATTTTCCCATTTTGGAACTGGACGACTATCTTCAGCACCAAATATATTTCCAGCATTTAATGGTATAATCTCCTGAAAACTGTAAATAAAGAGCACATGCATTAATTCTTAAATGTACTCACTAATGTACGTATATAGAGTCAAAAGATACTTCTGAATATATATAGCTAAAAACGAAAAAGAACCCATTATATTCTGTTAGTTTCAATGTATACGTAACAACTTGAAAGTAATTATTTACAAAATAGATTGGAGCTAAATAATATATATATAAGAACATCAATTTGAGATTACCAAGTTATTTCCATCAATAGGATGCTCCAATTAAAGAAAAGGGCAAACACAAAGGGAATTTCATAGACAAACCCATCAAGAACTTACCCAATCACATACATGTCAGCAGGCTCAGTAATATCTAGCCAACCTTCAATATCTAGATCATCCTGTGGAAGTTTCCCTCCAACATTCCATGTGCCAACACATATTCTATGAACAAAAAAGACAGCAGACAAAGGCAAAGGCATGACTAAAACAATCTATACAAAAGTGGTACTTACAGGAGGGTCATCATACCTGAGTTCTTTTTTGTTAATATATTGTGCCCTAAATGTCTCTGACTTTCGTCTTCTTCTCCTCGGAAGAGCATCTGAAGTTCAAAAATGCCAACCGTGAAAATATAGATGTGTGTGTGTGTGTGTGTGTGAACAGACAGACTAAGCAGCATATTGCTACTTTCATAAATGGTAAAGGGAAGACCAAATTAACAAGAAGAGGTAAAATGGTGCATGATGACATTCACCTAGGGGCCATTCTGGAACTTTTACTGACATATTCAATTTCAAGTTCATAGCATTTGGAAAGAAATCTCTTGTAAAAAGGAGTAATGAGCATCATTGAAAAAAATTGACTATCACACAATGTATTTGTAAAACAAAATCTTCAAGACCACCTTCCAAATTTAAGTGTGGTTTTTACATTTTTCATAATTTCCATCAACCACCTTAAGATTGCTCTGAACAATTCCAAATGTCAATGTCCAAAAAAGTTGAATATTTCTATGATTAAATAAAGAAAGTAAAGATCATGCAAATATGCCCAAGTTTTGTCATCTATTCATAATATGTTGGTTTTTGTACATGATCTTTTCAACCAAGTACTTGCATGTTTATACATGTTACAAGAAAACAGAAACTACACATTTGGGACCATAAAAATGAATTAATAGATTTGGCTCCAAAAATGCATCATGTTTAAGGAATACCCCCCTTTTCAAAAGTTACTGTTGACCAAAATTCAGCAAACCCGAAAAATAAATAAATACAAAAATAAAATAAAATAGAGTTTTTTTAGTAGTTACACAGAAATAAATAATTAGAAGTTACATGAAAGCAAGTAATTGATCTGACAGAGTTAAAAAGGAAAACTTAAACTTTACAACAGTACATTACCATTAAAATCAATCCGAGCTTCATCGCCTTTATAACCCTTAAATCGCGTTTCTCTTGACCATGGATTAAATTCTGCATTAAAAGATGGAGATGAAGCCCAAAACATAAAAAACATGATCATCATCACCTCACACCAATACATATATAATTTACTAAAAACCACTTAAATACACACCTACACCACACATATTTAAATGAACAAGATCGTAAAACAATTTGCAATTTACATGTCTTTGTTCTGACCTTCATCAGTGTCGGTGTCGGTGTCGGTGTCGCCGTCGTAGTCTTCGTCGGGGTCGGCACTGTAATCGGAGTCCCTTGCACTGATGTTGAGCCACTTGCGCATGACCACCCTTGGCCAGAAGAGCTGCAGGCACGTGCAAGCGAAACAACAAATTTCAGCCCAACTTCTCTGCAATTTCTCTTTAAGTCATCAACGAAGAGAAAAACACACACACACATATACATATATGTATATATATATGTATATACAGAGAGAGAAATGGAGAACGAAATCCCTAATAAAAGACCTAAAAAGTTGAAGAGAGAATATATACAGATATATTTATAGAGAGAGAGGGGGATGGAATACCTCTGGTCGACGATCATTCCTGAATCGATTCTCCATGATTGGGATTGGCAGAGATATAGAGAATCTACAGAACAGAGAGATGTGGGAACAATGTTGGGAAGAGTGAGATTTGCAGCGCAAACAGAGATGGCGTTAGTAGACAGACAAAAAAGGTCTAACAAACCCGTTTTACAAACGAAGTGGACGATGCACAACTACAACTACAACTACAACTCTCTTTCTTAAAACTTTACTTATTTTCTACCCTGTTGACTCCCTTGTTTCTTTTCCATATACATCAATAAATATTCTTTCCAATGAATAAAAAATACTCTAAAAGTTACTTTCTGATTTTTTTTTTTTCTTTTTATTTTTTTATTTGTTTTAACAAGGACTTGATTAATTTACTCTTTGAACTCCTCCCATATTAGTTATCAATGTTTAATTTTTAAGGGGACATGAATTTATTTTCCTTTTAAATTTACATACTTATCCCTTTTAAAAAAAATTATATGCATATTACCAAGTTTGAATTTTTAAAAATATATAGAAAGAATAACGACGAAAAAATACATTTATTTGTTTTTATTTTTTTAAAGGGACAAATTAATTTAGGATATTCAAAAAAAAGAATAGTGGACTAATAACGTGGGAGAGAATAATTTTAAGTAAAGTTACCACTAACAATACCACATGATTTAACAATTAAACTTACAGAATGCACATAGTCACAAGTCACAACTATGCTTAGCACATTCTATTTTTAAACAATCTTTCAGTGCATCTTATTTCCAATGCTAGCAAGATCTTAATTGTGATAAATTTAACTAACTTGGAAAAGAAAGTTGGTGAAGTTGTTGCCGATAACGTTAAGTTCGAGTTCAGTGTACAGGGATATACAAGACCAATCTTGCCGGCACCATCAATCCCCCCTACAACCACCATGTGTTCCTCTGCTATGATAATTACAAGTCTTCGTCAACCTTGCCAGCACCATCCATCCCCGTACAACAAGAGGTCGTTGCCGGTGACAATCTTAATGGTTGCTAGCAACGATCTCGCTAGTTGCCGGAATACACCTTGCTTATCCACTCGTTCAATACTACTCCTCCATTACTAATTAATCATCTACATGGATTCCTTTCCAATCTATATATATATATATATATATATATATATATATTATGTGATTGATGAGTAATGTGTTGATATATAAATTGATACATGAGTAATTGATGTTGCTTAATGGAAAGATGCCATTATTGAGGGAAGATAAAGAAGAAGATGAAGAAGAGGAGGTGAGTGTGGAGGCGATTGAAAAAATATGCCATTGTTGAGCTCTCTTTGTGAGATTATATAATAAGGTTAAATTTGTAATTTGCCAAATAATAATTAATACGTTTTTAAATTTCACATTATAAAATGCGGTTAAATTTGTCAATTCACTTCAACTTAGCAGATTCTAACGAAAATGGAGACAATGTAATAGCGTTTTGTAGTTCAGGGAGGTGTTTAATTTTAGTGGTGTTTTTTTGTTCGAAAATGATAAATAAGGGTGATAAGATTTGTATTATTCATAAAAATATATACGGAGTATCCACAAGGGCATAGCAACGTTGATAGGGATCCGGAAAATAAGTCCTTGAGATTTCGCTTTCGAACCGCACCCCTAACTTGAATAATGTGTGTATTATGGGGCCGATACACGTACTATATATATATATATATATATATATATATATATATATATATAAATCCACACACTAAGTTACAATTTTAATAAAGAAATCGTCTAAAACTCGCAAGAGAAAAACGGAAAAATACATTTTCTCTGAAGAAGAAGATAAAAAACAAAAAAAAAAAAACAACTTGGAATACCAAATTCTTAACTACCAAATGAAAAAGAAATTGTTTTGGCAAAGCGAAGCGACGTTGGTGGTAAATGAAGATGAAAATTAATTTTGTTGTGTGTGTGTGTGTGGGGCAACAACCAAGCAAGGAGGATTGATTGGATGGAAAGAAGGAGAAGCTATTAGTTGAGAGGCAAATCTAATAGAGTATGTTGTTAATTGAGATAAAAACGGTGGACCTACCTGCAATTATTTTTTAACCTGCAATTATTTTTTAAGGCATAGGTAACTTTTGAGAATATTTTGAAAGATAATAGTAACTTTTTAAAACTCAAAATTGAGAGGCGTTAATTTAATAATTTTTTATAATATGGGCAATAACAAAATTATTCCTAATATGGAATGAGTTAATAAAAATAATTTTTTTTTTTCTTACAAGAATGTTAGGGATTAATTAGTAGAGAGTGAGGTGCAAAGACTCGGATTATTTGTTAATTATGTGTTTTTCTTTTGTCAGTCACGGACACATTCAAAGCTGTTTGGCAAATACGTTTGTTTCATGATTTGGGTTGCAAGTGGTGTAATGTAATGAAGCAAAATATCGAATGTGTTTGTTGTAATGAGGCAAAATATCAAATGAATTTGTTGATTATTGTTACAATTTAATAATACTGCATTTGTTGTCAAAAAGAGGTATAAAAAAAAAATAAAATAAAAAATAAAAAAAATAAAAAAAAAAAATTCTCAAATAACTTCTTTTAACAAATCATTTTTTTTTTCTAAAAAAAAATTTGGAATCTTTTTTTATCAAACATATTTTTCATATTTTTGCTTTTCAAAGTCTTATTACGAATGTTGTGTTTTAAAATATACTTCCAATAACCATTAAACACATTTTATAACAAAAAATATTATTCCTGTTTCGAATGAAAACATAAACTCAAAACGAAAACGGCTAACCTGACATTTAACTTTCTTATTAAAAATTTTAAAGCTTCAATGTTTGTTTGAAATGAGGTGTGGATATCTTCTTGGTGGTTATATATAAAAATATGTTGTAGTATCACTTTAAGCCTTTTACTTTCTTAACTTTTATGATTATTTAAAAATTTAAATTACAAAATTAAGAAAAATCCTTAATATTATGGTTAAGTAAATGTTTATAATTATATTTTTTAAAAATTTGTGAGTAAATTTTTTTTAAAAAAAATAATATGCATAAAGGAACACTAGATATATATTTAGACCTAAGCCACATAATTCTTTTAAACTAACATAACTCTCAAGCTTTGTGATGCTCTAGTTCTTAGTTCTTACATTTCTTGCACACTCTTATTCGGATTCTTATTCTGCAAGGAGTTAGATTTTATCACTTTCATGCTCTTCCGCTCTCACTTTAAATCACACTTAGAATTTGAAAGAGTTTGAGAATCGTGTTTTAAAAAGCTAAAAAACAGCTACCCACACCTCATTGACAATATAGACAAGTATTCTAGACTTTAATTACCAAAAACCCAATCAATTTAATGATGGTGGAGAGTCAATACTCTATGAGACTTGATGGAGGAGCAGTACATGAAGTATTTCCCAATAACAACAAATGTAATAGCCCAGTGTCCCTGCCGATTGCTAAACGACCCAAACTGTATCACTGGCCGGTGCAAGTCGGTCGTTTTTGTTCTCTCTGTGCACACATAAGACCGACACAAATACTTATATATAGTATATATATAAATAGTTTTTGTTTTCTCTATGTGCACATATAAGACCAGCACAAATACTTATATAACATATATATATATATATAAATATATATATATATATATAGTACTGTTCAATTGCTCTCCAATAAACAAAAAGAAATATAGTCACTTTTACTAGTAACCTTAGGATCTAATCCAACGGCTACTGGGGAGAATAATTATTTTAAGAAATTAACATTATTTTAATTAGTCATTAATTATGAAATAACTATATTAGATATATTTAAAAATATATATATATATATTTAACCATGAATTGTCATTACCCCACCGTCATTGTCACCTCTTACCCGCCGCCGCCGCCGCCACCACCACCACCACCACCACCACAACCACCTACACCACCTCACCTCCACCCAGACAGATTTGATGGCTACATTTGACTTAGAATTACCAAATTTACAAATTAATTGACGTCCTTATAATTATTGGTGTATGTGGTGGTAGTGGGTAGCAGTATGGTGGTGATAGAGGTGGCAGTGTTGTGGTGTGGTTGGGGGAGGTGGTCGTGGCAGCGGGGGAGGAGGTGGGTGGTGGTGGTAGTGACGAACTGACAGTGGTGAAAAAGAGCATGGTTATCGTTTAAAAAAAAAAATTATAATTATAATAATAATTATTATTATTATTAAAAATATATCTAATATAGTCATTTCATAATTAATGACTAATTAAAAGAAATAAAATTACCTAAAATAATTATTGTTTAAATTAGTCTTAGATTAAATCTTAAAATTATAAGTAAAAGTGAATATATTACTTCCCGCTCACCGGTCATTTTTGTTCTCTTTCTGTGCACATGTAAGACTGACACAAACACTTATATATATATATATATATATATATATATATATATAGTTTTTGTGCTCCCTCGGTGCACATACAAGACACAAATAGTTATATATATGCACATATAAGACACAAATACTTTTATATATAGGCGGAGGGCGGGTGGTTAACTCTAATCCCCCCCCTCTTTTTTGTTTTTTTCTTTTTTCATTGTTCTTTTGCTGTGTTGTAGTTTTTCTCTCTTGGCTCTGCTAGGGAGGGGAAAAAAGAAAAATAACCACATGCAACTTGTTACTTGTACATGAATGACAAACATAAACATACATATACTCTAATATGCATGTGCAATAAGATCATTTTTGCTATTCATGCATCCAGATTTCAGAATCAAACATATATATATATATATATATATATATATATATATATATATAATTGTATGTGTAACCACAGTTCCATATGTACAGAGGTTCGCCAGTAATTAAGTTGAAAACTAGAAGCATCTGTCGATGGGACTAATTAAAGCATATCTGATCTTTTTCTCTCTCTTGAATTTGTGGATTAAAAAAAGGAATTAATGGATAAGAATTTTGGGAAAGTAGTTCATTAGAGAAGGCATAGCATTTTAATTATACCCCCTTTTATTTTTCATTTACTTCTTCTTCTTTTTTCTTTTTCTTTTTTTTAAAGATATATATATATATATTAAACACTAAAAATTTTGCTAAATTTCTAATAATAAAGTCCTACGATAGTTTAATTTTTTATTTTAATTTTTTTTCCCTATTGAGGCCATCTTCCTAAAATAATTTTCGGATGTAAATTAGACTGAATCGAAAACTTGAGCAACTAGATATCAAATTAATTGTAAGATGATAAATTCGCAAGAAAGTTGTATTATCATGAAAGACCCTAACATCATACACATGAAATCTAATAGATACAAGATCAAGCTAGGTCCTTTAATCATCATCAAAATACACT